GTGCAATGGAGGCAAGCTGTAGGCTCAACTCAAGAAAGGGAAGAGTGAAATGGATTATTCCTATGGTAAATACTTACTACTTTACTTTGTATGTTATTTTTACTTTAATTTGTGTAGCACCAAGTCAAATACCGTAATTCCTGATTAGTAATTATGATGTTCTAATTTGTAGTCTCTGATGCAAGTTGTGAGTTATGAATGTGGTTATTATGTGATGTTGCATATGTTGAATATTGTTTCGACGGTAATTCTTGAAATGTGGGATGAGGTACGTTATTATTTTATTTACATTCAATAGGTTTGCTCCACATGTAATGTTTTTTAATAATCTTCTTATTTAATTTGTAGTGATTTGCCAACCCGGAACCATTCTCATCAGAAGAGATTGATGAAGTACGAACTCGTTGGGCATCATATTTCTTAGAAATGGCGCAATCCATCAACGACACATGATGAACGTGTTCATTTAAGTTTTTGAGTGATGATGAGACTTGTAACTTTATACAATGTGTTATTACTCTAGACTTGTGCAAGGATTGTTTTATTTTAGCTTATTATTATGTACTAAGTTGTTACTTGAACTTGTTTAACATTTGTGGAAGAATTGAAAAAATAGCTTGTGTTATTGTTTTAGATGGATCAAGTGAACATGTGAAAAATTGTGCTATAGTATTTGATGATACACTTAATGATGTGATTACAGTATAAACGGGGTCATATTATTGCAATTTTTTTGTGAAATATACCAAAAAATTGAAGTTTTTCACATCAGTTGTGAAATAACCTATGTGATTGCTTTTCTACATGGGTTATAACCGATGTGAAACACATATGTTCCGAAAAAAATGAAGCTTTTCACATCAGTTGTGAACTAACCAATGTGATTTCTTTTTTACATGGGTTATAAGCGATGTGAAAAACCTATGCTCCGGGAAAAATCGAAGCTTTTTTACATCAGTTGTAAAATAACCGATGTGGTTTCTTTTCTACATGGGTTATAACCGATGTGAAATATCATTAAAACGCCGTTTCGGACTATCTTCTAGATCGGGCACTAAACGACTGATGTAGAAAGAATTTTCACATCGGTTGTTTGACCGATGTGAAAAGTCAAAACTTTTCACATGTGCTGGAACCACATCGGCTGTTTGACCGATGTGAAAAGCCTTTTTGACCGATGTGAAAAGCCTTTTTTGTACTAGTGATTAGCATTTTTCCGGGGGAAAACTCATAATCTATTAGGTATTTTAATGTGGAAATGACACAAAATTATATCTACAGTCTAAAATATTAAAACGACCAAGTGATCGAGTTTCATTTCTCACTTGTATGAATAACAAGACCCCATCAACATCGCAATCTATTAATTTAATTCCATCTAGTCTCTAATTTTATTGTTCTTGTGTTGTATTAGATTGTCCGCAATCAAGGGGTGAAAACCCCAAATCTGAGTTATTCACCCCAAATATGCCGCAACTCTACTCAAAAGTGTATTTCAATGTGCCAAGGTGGGTTGGGGCATCCTTGGAGGGGAAATTAGGTGCCTTGCTTCACCAGAGAGAGAGAGAGAGAGAGAGAGAGAGAGAGAGAGAGAGTAACGCATGGAAAAGCCTAATGTGCCCAGTCACTACGCACTCAAGGAAAAGTAGGAGCCCCCAATAGTTAAAAATCACAACTTTTTAAAAAGTATATGCATTAAAAAAAGTTATTTGTATTCCAATTTTTATAAAAAAATATATCGAATTCATAATTTTTTATAATCTTTCATATGACACCATTATTACATATATAAAGTTAAAAAATATTTTTAGGTTCCATATTTTCCTTCCATGTGCTAAAAATAGGATCTTATTGTTATTTTTTACATCTTCCAGTTATTTGTTTCCAGAATATGCCTGAAGTAACAATCAAAAAAATAAATTCCAAAATTCTTTATTTTTACATCAAAATGTTTGACTTTTTAAATCATAATTATTCACCAAAAACAAGTTGTCAAAAACTTTATGTATCTTACTATATACAAAGCGAAGTAGAAAACCAGCCCATCCCCCGCCTAAAGATACAGGTAAAAAATGGGTCGGATCTCTTCGATACAGGTAGTATCTAGAATCTGCTCAAACCATGTTGGGTAAACATGTGATCTAATACGGACTATTATGATGGCACTCGGATGACGAGAAAGGTGTCAGAGTCAATTGCCCGTCTTGAATTGTCACACCACTTATGTACTCGGTTTTAATGTCAAAGGGTGTTGCTTCATGCACCCCCAAAATTGCTTAATCTAATCCCTGGTGGACAAATTTGGTCTTCTTAATTATCAAATAAAATTAATTAAGTATAATTAAAACATAAATAAAAATTTCTTTCGTGCACCTCCACCTCCATGCCCCGGATCCTCCATATCATTTTTGCATTAAGTATGCATCCAATAGAATAATGCCATGTGGCAAGTAATCCTTTTTTTATAAAATGTCATAACTTTTTTATTTTTACTCCAATTTTTATAAAATTTATACCACATTAAATATCTTTTTATGATCTTTCATTTGACACCAATATCATATATGTAATTTTTTTAAAAATCTAATCAAGTCTCGTGAACGATCAAAAAATGTATATTTACTATTATTTAAATCTAGTCTAGTCTGATCTGATTCTATTTGTTTGAACCTATCTGGTTTGAAATCAACTCAATTAAAAAATACTACGGTAACTAATATCATTCACATCATAAATCTAGTCATGTAACATATATGATCGTAATGTGGAATCAACATGGTGCCGATGTAGTTTTAAAAGGTGAGCCCCTCCACGTCTGGAATTAGTTCAACAAATAAAAAATGAAGGTAATTAGTTTACTAGAATTAAAAATGTTACTTATTCAAATATATAATCTAATATAGAATTTCCAAAAATTAATTATTGGGTGACATTAATTTATTATTAGTATAATAATGCAAATAAAGATGTTTTTAATTGAATAAAAATTTATTGGTCTAGTCTAATCTAGTATAATGCTATCTTATTTGTTTTATTTAAGTTTGGTCTAATCTAATCTGAACTGGTCTGCACTATTAGATGTATGCTTATGTGCGAGTGTTTTTTTTCTAACTGTGTTAAACAACTATCGAAAATTGATATGGTTTAAATTGAGATAAAAAACATCTCAATTAAAAACATCCTAGATACTGTCATATCGTAGTTATATGATTATAAAGATGAATAACAAAGTATATATATGACCATCAAAATATTAACGAATATTGTATACCGCTAATTTAATGAATCACATCACAAAGAATTGAGATACAGATAGTGAGGAAGATGAATAGCTCATAGGTGTGAAAATCAAGAGTACTATTTTTTAGATATTTTTTAGATTCATCCTCCATTGTATAAGAAGATTGTAAAAAAAATTATAGAAGCAATAATAATGGGTTCCAAATATTTGTATAGTAGTTGTTTGATAGTAGTTAGAAAGTGTAATCTTGATTGAATTAGGAATTTAAGCGTACGTTGAGAACTATTTGAAAACATTTAAGTGTATTTGGAAACATCTCACACAAAATTTTGGAAACATAAGGCCAGCACATTGGGCCAACATAAGATTATGAAAAATGTTTAATTTGGTCTATTTTTTTGTAAACATTGGAACAAAAATGATTACTCCGTAATATTTTTATAAAAATAATAAGTGTTTACTACAAAAATATTGCATAGAGATTTGGTAGTGTGTGTTTGATTAACTAATGTTGCCACCGAACAACTAAATTGATACGAGTACTAGTAATAATAATAAATTGATAGCCGAGTACTAGTAATAATAATTAACTACAATTAGTAATTAATGCTCTGTATGATTATACTACGTATAACAAACGTAAGAGGACAAATTTGTCCAATTTTGAAAGAAATGGGGGTGCGCCTAGTATTTGTTGGGGTGCACGAAGCACGGGCGATGTCAAAAGCGGAGAAGCCAAGGTCAAACTCGGATAAATGGACGTCTGTATGGTAAGGACAACTAAAATCAAGCTGGATGAATAAGTCAAGAAAGGTCTGAGCGAATAAGTCACATTTTACATTAAGTTCTAAGTAAACATGAACATATAACTGAGCGAATAAGTTACAGTTTCTATTAAGTCCGTTAAGTCAAAAGTAAACAGGCCCTTACTAACCCTTCCTCTAATATGGTAATACCCTTATAAAGTCTATGAATTACTTAGAATCAAGAATAATGCTCAGCCGTGGATGCCTTTTATTTGGAAAAACTATATTCCTCCTAAGTTTTCTTTCATTACTTGGTTAGCATTCCGGGGGAGACTAGCCGCGTATGATAACTTGGGGTACTTAGATATTGTTAACACATGCCATTTTTGTAAGGGTGGACCGGAGACGGTATCACACCTATTTTTTGAGTGTTCATTTACAGGACAGGTGTGGAGCTTGGTACGAGATTGGCTTGGACTGTTTAGGCAAATGACAACGCTTCTGAGTGCAGTCAAATGGATGAAGAAGGAGCATAATGGAGCGCATGTCAAAGCCAAAGCCGTGAGACTATCTTTTTGCTATACTATCTATTGGATATGGCATGTGAGGAACATGATTTGCTTTGAAGGGACCACTACCACGGTCATTGATATGGTCAAGCGAATCAAATTTATGGTGTATAAAATTCTCTATTATATGTACCCATTAGACAGAATTACATTCTGATTTTGACGATCCTTTTTGATGTTTTTTCACCTTTTTGTGATAGAGCATTTATATGTAGCTAGAAGCTAGAAGCTTGAGGCTGTTTGGGCTGAGGTATCCTTTCTTGGGATTACCCATATGATTTGTTTTGGTACTGTACAGCTGTACATAAACACTTTGGATATATATAATTACAGTTTATCAAAAAAAAACTAATATGATAATACCTCTTTAACACTCCTTCCAAACGGGCCTTAGTCAAGTAAACTAGTAAAGTCACAAGACTCAGAAGTCAGAACCCATAGTTCACAGGGTTCTGTGATGTCATTCTTTACCTTCTAAAAGCCAATGGTTCATAGGTTTGATGGAGATGTACTCCAAAAGAACAAGACGGAACCGTGACAAGCAAGTGACTAGTCGAATGCGGATAAGTCAATTGACCAATTTCAGCGATTGGCAACGCTCTTTCTCCTCCTCCGTTCGAGCTGTTGCTGCCCCCCACTCCTAAAAAGTTCACAATCGAAGGAAGAGTATACGCGCACGCAATATATATACGCAGGCCGTAGCCCGTACAGTGTCTCTGTATACGAGAGAGAATGGCGGAGGAGCGGCCAAGAGTCATGAGCGGCAGGAGGGTGTTCAAGTCGCTGCAATCAGCGGCGGCTCATGGATTGCTGCTCACCTTCACTCTGCTTCTCGCTCTGAAGCTCGATCGAGACATTTCATACCCTTGGTGGTTCGTTAATTCCTTTTTTTCTTGTTTACTTGTTTAGCTCAGTAAAGTTTCAAGGGTTTGTGTCAAGTAGGAGGCATATCCTTCAATCTAAAAAGTCCTGCGGAGTTAGTGTCTAATATGTGAATTCCAAACCCAAAGTGTTGAGCTTCATGAATCTCAGAAACTATGGAAAATGGTACAGGTCCTTCTAGAAAGTTTGCCTTTTTTACCTGAATAATGCCTGGAAAATATTTTAGTGAAATGGAAGGTGTTTATACGAGGTTGTTATACAGCTTATCTAAAATACTAAAATGTGATCATCACTTAATACAGATTATTGGGAAATATTGCAAAGGCAGGTGTTTATTGTTACGGTTAGGGAAATCTAGTTTCTTAAATGAATTCTTGTATCAGTTATAAAAAGTGAATTACTGTCATTCACAACAACTACAAAAAGTTTCTCAATCCTCTTTAAGCACCAGTTTTTGTAAAATAGCAGACATTGAGGAATGGCGTGGCAGACTTTGTGCCAACTTTGAACTGCCATAGATTTTTTTGAAGAATGGTGGTACCATATTGCAGAATTTCAGCCTTCCATCTGCCATTAACAGCACTCCTAGACAATGTTGACTCTTTAGAGCCCGTTTTGTAAGAGCTATTTGGCTCCTATGGGTGGATCTGGTGATTTTTCTGAAAGGAAAATAATTTATTAGCCAAACAAATTAGTCAATTGCTGCTTATTCTTATTTATTCAGCTGACAAGCTGAATAAGCTGAACTAAGCTACCTAACGAGTTCTTAATTTGAAAATCAATTGTTCTGTATAATTTTGAAAGCATGTGAATATATTTACTCATCTCATTTTACAGGGTTTGTTAATTATTTTGATCTTGCAGGACTGTTTTCATCCCTCTTTGGTTATTTCATGTGGTTGTAGCAAGGGGTAGATTCTCCTTACCTGCTCCATCAATGCCTCATGGTCGAAATGTATGAGGCCTCACTTATTTAGAAATAACCAGTTTAGTATGCAGTTTATGTTGTATTTGACTATTTGCATATCGTAGTCAATTTCTGTGAGCTGGTATAATGAGCCAGATAATCTTCGTTGAACAGTGGGCACCACATCATGCTATTATGGCAACTCCATTGCTGGTTGCTTTTGAACTGCTGCTATGTGTACATCTCGACTGCCATTATGGTAATGAAGAAAAAACTAAAACATCTTATTGTTATAGGCTATGATTTTCAACAGAAATCATTTATTGTATCTGTCTTTAACACCATTCCATGTTAATATATGTTATGCCTTACCTATCCAGACCAGTGAATTGTATCGTGTGTTTTGTTGAAAAAATGCTTGTTTAATCAAATAGCACGATTTAATTCATACAATGTTGTCGTTTGCAGCTGTAAATTTGAAGATTGTTTTCATTCCGCTGCTAATGTTTGAATCTGCCATTTTGGCTGATAATGTTAGGTAAGATGCTTTTCTGCATGGATTTTTATCATACATTCTGATAACATGAGTCTAGGACTATGTTTTGAAACTTATGAAATTGAACATTATGATTTGGGTGCATGGCTTCCAAAATGAGGTATATGATATTTAGATCCAGTCAGGAAACTCAGAGGATTCCCAGCTGAGCATTAACAGTTTTGTAATATCTCACATACCATTTTGCTTTCTTAGAATGTGTAGGGCTTTGATGCCTGGAGATGATGAAAACCTGACTGATGAGGCCATATGGGAAACCCTTCCTGTAAGTTTCTAGTTGTACTCTGCCAATTGCTATTGGCCTCCAAAAATAGACTACTGTTTGTAATATTTTTTGAAACACAGGTGGTCCTAGTTGTCAGAATGCATTCATTATTTCAAGTGTTATTTTAAAGACATTGTTGGCTCTTGAAGTACTATTCTTAGTTCTGTAAATAATGACTAATCTACAGTGCAGTATTAGCTGGTTATGCATTATCATTTAAGTACTTAAGTGGTGAATGATGAAACACAGTTGCCATCAAAAGATCAAATTAGTAATATCGGGTTAATTACTCATATTTATCTGTTCATATGGAGGCTCTAAATGCATTTTATCGTTTATCCCAGCATTTTTGGGTTGCAATTTCCATGGTCTTCCTCATTGCAGCAACGACTTTCACTCTTCTAAAACTGTGTGGTAATATTTAACTTCCTATTGCTTATATTTATCACTGTTTGTAGTATATCATTTTTGTGGGTTTTAAATTCATATGGTCTACCATGGAAGGTGCGATAAGTTCATAAGATAGCTATATCAAACGGAAGGGCAGCGAATAAATCTAATTCTGATCTAGATACTTGTATTTTGATTAAATTGTGTCATACATACATCAATGGCCGATTACTCGACCATACCAGAACCAGTATAATGGGTTAATAACTAGTATCACATAATTAGGAAATTTTGGTTTTGTGAAGTAGGGCTGGATTCAGTTCAGGTCCCGAACCGATCCAACGAATCCTGGAACCGAACCGAAATATCGGTTACTCAAATTAGCACACCCGAATCCAAACCGCTCACAGATCGGGTACCAATTTATTGGGAACCGATTTTTCGGGTCAGTTTGTCGAAAACTGAAACAAACCGATTACTGTAATCATCACACAAAAATTTGAACTTTTATTCGACCCATTAAGCCTAATATATCTGGGTATTAGAATATTGAGCCCATTAAGCCCAATGTATCTGGCTATTAAAATATTGAGCTCATTACAAGCCACTCAAATCCGAAATAACCGGATTATGTGACTTATTACTAGTCACAATTGTACATGCGAGTAGATCCCTTGTTATATATAAGTCTTTGGAGGAGTAAGTCTCTTCTTTTTCCGGTGTGGGACGAAGTAGTAGAGGAGAGAAAAAGATGAGGAGAGAAATGCTAAAACAAAATGGGCGCTGGTGAGAGTCGAACCAGTGACGCCTTGGCCAGGGAATGAATTGCGCAACCAACACACTAACGCTTCCAATACGGCAATACCTACATAGTGTTCTCAAACGGATATTACATCATTTGTAAACGTCATTAGTAGTTTAGTACTAGTAATTATTATTATTATTATTATTATTATTATTAAAAAAATCGGTTCGGCCCAAACTGATTTTTTGAGTATATAAACCGATTTCGAACCAATATTTTTTGGGTCCCGATTTTTGGGTCCCAAAATTTATCGGTTCGATCCGGTTCGTTTTTTCAATGCGGTTCGGTTATTTTCGGTTCAGTTTTCGGTCCGGTTTTCGGTTCAAAATGCCAGCCCTACTGTGAAGTATTAATGTCACTTATAAATGCTTGTATGCTTTAAAAAAATACATTTTTATGAGTATTCTAAGGGGTCATTTGGTTAAGTTTTGGGATTAAGAGGGGTTGATGGTTGTGGAGAGATTGGTTGTGCTATCCTAGACCGTTCACTTCTGTGACTGGCATCCTAGATTATGTGTTTAAGGAAATTGCCATTGCCTTAGCTATTTTGGAGTAGAAAATGCCTTTCCCTTTGCCATACTCAATATCTGTTAGAATATAAGAATTCAGTGCACCAGAGGTGCGATGGGCGGCATTGAGCTACCATCTACTGTTAGGATTAATCCTATGAGAAGGATTGGGTTATGAAAAAATAAAGTAGTATGTGACTATTGTCTTCATTGAGCTTGATTACTATGATCTATGTATAGCTGACATTAGATTAAATGACCTTCTACGGTTAACTCCCAAAATAGTTGTCATTTTAAGAATTCAAGAGATAATTTTTCTGTATCTTTCAAAATCGCTCAAATGTACTCTTTTCAAAATAAATACATGAGTATGTGTATTGGGTATAAAATAAATTTTTACCTAGGGCCCTAGACTCAAATAAGGGCACGTTGGGTCATTTTATAGACCTCCTGTATATGCATGAAATACTATACAATGAAAATTGATATCTGAAAGAGGACCCGTGATTCGTTATTATTTAAATACTCCGTATATTTTATTACTATTACTATTTAGTCATTTTCGTTATTGACCTGTAATGATAATATGTGCAGGCGATGTAGTTGCTCTTGGCTGGTGGGACCTATTTATTAACTATGGGTACAAAACGCGTATTCCTACTCGCCTTAGGTGATTGATGGTTCATAATTGTCTCCCGTCAGCTGCTGACTAGCTCATTGCTTTACAGGGTGGCTCAGTGTTTTGCCTTCCTTATCTGCACAAAATGGCATAATCCTGCCATTCATAGAAATTCTCATATTCAATCACCCAGTTGGGCCAGTTCAGCTTCAGCAAGTGTCAGATATTCTAGCCGGCGTAACAGTTTGCTGCCATCTTTAGATGATGATTTTGAAGAGAGCAGAATTTGCAGTTTGCAAGAAATTGGCGGGCACATTATGAAAGTCTTGCTTGTCGGTTTTGAGATAGTGCTTTTTATGCGACTAGCGGTAAATCCATTGACACAAATTTCAGATTTGGTTTTCGTTCTTGAAATGATTTTTGTAACTTGTAACCAGTTCTTTGTTTGTTGTTCCAGGAAACTCCGCCTAGTGCTAGACATATTCCAATCTCAGTTTTGTTTGCTCCTATTTTCCTGCTCCAAGGGGTAGGAGCTCTGTTTGCTATCTATAGATTTGTGGAGAAAGTAATGCTTCTACTAGATACTGAAGCTGGTGACAGAAACTATTTTAGTGTACCTGCTAGGATTCGTGATTCTTTAGGGTTTCTTCACCGTGGATCAAGGTAATTCCTGTTCAATTTAGAAGTCCATTATCTTCTTACTTTCCTGATACTCATTCTTTGAAATGCTCATAGATCTCACTCTAAACAGGTTGTTGGGTTGGTGGTCAATAGATGAAGGAAGTCGTGAGGAGCAAGCTCGTCTTTATCATGCCCAGACACCGGAGTCAGTATTAGTATTTCTTTTATTCTACTCTTTTTGCATTACATCCAATGTACTTTACCACTAAGGCAGTAACGTCCAATGAGTTAGCTATTTTGGTTATCTTCAATCAAAATGCGTTCAGACAAAGAAATTCCATAAAGCCTTCTGGTCTCACCACTGTAGTCAGGAGTAGTAAAAAATTATTTTACAGTGTGTGAATTTAGTTATGTTATATGAACACGAATAAGAGAACTGAAGAGGAGCCTTGGCGCACCGTTTACGGTGTTGCTGTGTGATTGAGAGGTCACGGGTTCAAGTCTTGGGAGCAACCTATTGTCAAAATGATAAAGGAAAGCTTGCTTCTTATTCACCATGACGCTTCCCCAGACCCTCACCTTGCGTCGGCGCCGATGTGCTCCGGGCTGCCATTTTTTAGAAATAAGTGAACTACTTTATATGTATATATTTATATTATACTACCTCCGTAACCCTAGAATCTTCTCAGTTTGACTCTTTTGGGTCAAACTTTATAAACTTTGACCATTAATTATTCAAAACTCACATTATGTTATGATTAAAAATTTATTTCATATACCTTATTGTAAAACATATTATTTGAATGTTAATTTATTATGAATTTTATCAATATAGATATGTAGATATTTAGAGTCAAAGTTCAACTTAGAAGACCGTGAAAAGTCAAAATGGGAAGATCTTTGTGTTACGGAGGTAGTATTGTATATGACCTTCAACATACAAACTGATTAATTCCTGAAGAGTATTGCAAATGTTTACAACTACTCCGTAATACAGCTCTGAAAACTAGATAATTCAAATGAAATGCTTTTGAACTCCAACTTGTCATTGCTATTGTATTCACACCTAATGTTCGTGGGTTAATATCTAGGTATAATACTTTTTCACCTGATGCTGTAAAGAAAATGCCCAAAGCAGAGCTTGTAGAGGAGGTAAAAGTTCTCTCAACATCTTTTATATCATAATCTTTGCAGATCATTATTTGCTTCATTTTTCCTTTAATTGATAATTTAGTTCTGCCACAAGCATTTTGATCATAATTGACTCGTGTCATCATAGATATGGAGACTGCAGGCTGCACTGGGTGAGCAAACTGAGGAGTCGGAGTTAAACCAGGAGGAGTTTGAGAAACTTCAAAACGTAAGATGCATAAATGCGTTAACATTCTTTTATCTTGTTGATCATTGACTTATTCTTTTCACTCAGGGACTTAAAAGTTGATTTTGCCTTAGAATAGCAATATTGTCTTCATTGCATATTTATGCGAGTACACACACATATATGTATATATATTGAGTTAGTGAGTTACATTAGATGGTACCCAGCAATATCACCCAATACACATTGAGCAAAAGAAACAAGGATCCTGAAAAATCATTTAAGAAACCCATGTTTGTATTGAAAAGTCTATCAAAGAAACATCGCTAGTTGGAGATGGAGATGGCTTGTGATAAATAAAATACGAATATGTTTCTAAACGATGGGAGTTTTAGAGATACATGACTCCCTTGTGGAGTCGTATATGCAAATTTTGCCTCACCCCTCAATATTTATTTTCGTAATGGTGGGTACTCCTATGAAATTGAATGGTGACTGTGATGCCAAATATGCAGATATGAGTCTATAAGACCATTTGGAGTGGTGTGGAGGTCCAAATGTCAAAATTGGACTCTGTCCATTCTAGCACCGTCTATAAAATACACTCTGCATATTTTTTTACATATCAATTTAGTAAAACATTAATTAAATTATTATAAGTAATGTTTTCTTTTTAATTTTTCTCTGATTAATTATGAAATAAAAAATACACATTTCGATGTAAAAAAAAAATTCCATTCATTTTTTTTACGTTTTTCGATGAAGTGAGTTCAAACACATTAGAGCATTGGATTCTCTTCTCAACTTGTGTGTCTATTCATAACACATTGGATTCCCTTCTCAACTTGATGTGTCTATTCATATAACATTGAATTCTATTCTCCACTTGGTGTATCCAAACATAATAAATTGAATGTATCCTCCACTTGATGTGAACAGCATAGAACTATGTTCCTATAAATACATGGTCTCACTTCGCATTGGTGTCACACACCTCATCTTTACTTCTCCCATTTTCAAGTATCCTACAACAAGGTAAGAAAATATCATGAGTTCTTTTCCCTCATTTTACAAATCCATTAATGAAGATGAAGAAGCCTATTCCGACCGCATGCACATGACTTTGATGGCTTCTTTGGTTGCAACAAGCTCCAATAGGCGTGAGTACATAGACCGTGGTCGAGAATCTGAATACCGTTTGTTGATGGATGATTACTGGGAACCAAACCCCACCTACAACGCACGTATCCTCCGGCGCCGTTTTCGCATGCAACTGACTTTGTTCGATCGAATTATGAAAGATGTAATGGCCTTTGATCCCTATTCTCTCATCATCACTACCTTAGTGCCGCAAGGCTTCCACTTTTGGTGGGGTAAGGGGGGTCGGATGTGCGCAGTCTTACCCCTGTACTAAAGCACAGAGAGACTGTTCCAAATGATCCATAGTGAAAATTGCGCCGAAAATTGCATGGATTGACTGCTGCTTCATAACATAGAAGCGCAAACAGTTTAATGAGCCATTTTGCTTTATTCCATCATATTCTGAAGCCAAAAAATAGCGAGTCTTTGGCTCCATTGCAAATGATGGATTTTATCCCTATTTTTTTTAGATTTGATCCCTATTCTCTAAGTACAACAAATGCAGCAAACAAGGATCTCTTTCTCCTCAACAAAAACTCATTAGTGCGATATTTATGCACGCCAATGGTTGCTCTGCTGATTCATTAGATCGGTTATGTCGTTTGAGTGAGACGGCCATACTTTTGTGTATGAAGAAATTTTGTAGGGCAGTTATTAGTGTGTAAGGTTCGTGATGCCTACAAACCCCTAATCTCGGGGATCTGCACCGTCTTCTTGAAAAGGTCTCAAAGAGATGTTTTCTTGGGATGATTGGATCAATTGATTGCATGCACTGGGGCGGTCAGTACAAAAGAAAACCAACAATTGTGCTCGAAGCAGTTGTTTCTTATGATACTCATATTTGACATGCATTTTTGGCACTGCCGGTTGCAATAATGACCTCGACACCCTTGCAAGTTCTCCGGTCTTTGCTGTTGTAAATGGATGTGCCCCTCCGGTAGGATTCTGCGTTGATGGCAAGCACTATAATCAATGTTATTATTTACCTGACGCGATTTACCCAACTTGTGGAACTTTTGTTAAGACAATAAGTCATCCAGACACTCATAAGAAGACTTTTTGCTTTAATGCAATATGCTTTTCGTAAGGATGTTGAAAGGACATTTGGAATTTTACAAGCTAGGTGGGCTATTGTGCGAGGTCCTGCACGCTTGCACGACATACGCACATTAGGTGATATAATGCTGGCATGCATTATAATGCACAACATAAGACTGAAAGATGAATATGAAGAGAAGGGTGAAGAACCAAGCCGTCAAAACTATGGTGAAGACTATGACTATATTGGTGGCACCATTGAATTGGATCTTAACCATGATGGCCCGACCTTGAGTCAATATATGATGCACCACAATTGAATTCGAGACTCCAAGCTGCACACGTCGCTTAAAACTGATCTCATAAACCATCTTTGGAGGCACTATGGAAATGGAGTGTAATTTATATGCTTCCTTAAATTATGTGTTTTCTGAACTACATGAAACACAACTGCATTAAGAAAACATATAAATATTTAAAGGAAGCATATAAATTACATTCCATTTCCATGGTGCCTCCACAAATGGTTTATGAGATCAGTTTTAAGCGATGTGTGCACCGAGGAGTCTCGAGTTCGATTGTGGCTCATTATACACATTATACACTGACTCAAGGTTGGGCCATCATGGTCAAGATCTAATCCAACGGTGCCACCATTATAGTCATAGTCTTCACGGTAGTCTTGACAGGTTGGTTCTTCACCCTTCTCGAAGATATTCATCTTCCACTATCATGTTGTGCATTATAATGCATGCCAACATTATATCACCTAATGTGCGTATGTTGTGCAAGCATGCAGGACCTCGCACAATAGCCCACCTAGCTTGTAAAATTCCAAATGCTCTTTCCACATCCTTACCAAAAGTCTCTTGCATTGAAGCAAAAAGTCTTTTCTTAGGAGTGTTTAGATGACTTATTGTCTTAATAAAAGTTCCCCAAGTTGGGTAAATCCCATCAGCTAAATAATAACATTGATTATAGTGCTTACCATCCACGTGGAATCCTACCTGAGGGGCAGATCTATTTACAACAACATCAAAGACCAGGGAGCTTGCAAGGGTGTCGCGGTGCAAAAAATGTATGCCAAATATGAGTAACATAAGAAGCAACTGCTTTGAGCACAATTGTTGGTTTTCTTTTGTACCCGGTGTATTGACCGCCCCAAGATGTAGGATAGTTTATTCACTCTCTGTGCATGCAATTAATTGACCCAATCATCCCAGGAAAGCTTCTCTTTGAGACCTTTTCAAGAAGACAGTGCAGATCCCTGGGGTTAGGGGTTCGTAGGTACCAAGAACTAGACATGCCAATGAGTCGAGGTTGACCGGGTAGTGCAGGACCCCGACCCACCCCTTGACATAACTAAGTGGACCCGCCCCACCCTATGACCCGCACGAGTGATTAGATGTTGGCCCATGACCCACCCCATGACGTAATAGCTGATACACATTTCTAGTTTTGTGATGCTAGTATTACTCGAATTTTACATAAAATTTGTCTCCAAACAAATATAATAAATCATAGACATAATACAATGAAAAGTTTCAAAAATTAAAAAAAGATAATATAGAGATAACTATTTATTTATGAATAAATGAATATATAAATGCTAAATATCAAAAACACATTAACAATTAACTTTGATCTATTCGAAATGTAAATATTATCATATTAAAAGATCAAGAACTCATGAATTATTACTTGCACACGTATGACATATATAGACATATTTATGTGTATTTGTAGTATGTTTTTAAAAAAGATATATATTTATATATTGAGCGGGTCATGTCTGGGCGGCACGGGTCAATACTAATACCCGGACCCACCGCATTGTATGCATGGGGCAGGGTAGACCTGCCCCAAATATCTCGGGGCAGAGCGGGTCTCTATGGGCCAACTTTTTCTGACATGCCTACCAAGAACCATACACACTAACAACTGCCCTACAAAATTTCTTCATGCACAAAAGTGTGGTCGTCTCACTCAAACGACATAATTGATCTAATGAATTAGCCGAGGAACCATTGGCGAGCATAATATTGCACTAGTGAGTTTTTTTAGGAGAAAGAGATGCCTTGTTTGTTGCATCTGTTGTACTTAGAAAATATGGATCAAAGGCCATGACATCTTTCATGATTCGATCGAACAAAGTTGGTTGCATGCGCAAACGGAGGCGGAAGATACGTGCGTTGTAGGTGGGGTTTGGATTCCAGTAATCATCCATCAACAAATGGTGTTCCGCTTCTCGACTGCGGTCTATGTATTCACGGCTATTGGAACTTGTTGCAACTTGCAACCAAAGAAGCCATCAAAGCTATGCGCATGCGGTCGGAATAGGCTTCTTCATCTTCATTAATGGATTTGTAAAATTTAGGAAAAGAACTCATAATTTTTTTACCTTGTTGTAGGATACTTGAAAATGGGAGAAGTAAAGATGAGGTGTGTGACTTCAATGCCAAGTGAGATCGTGTATTTATAGTTCTATGATGTTCACATCAAGTGGAGGATACATCCAATTTATTATGTTTGGATGCACCAAGTGGATAATAACATCCAATGTGCTATGAAAGGACACACATAGTGGAGAAGAGAATCCAATGTGATATGAATAGACACATTAAGTTGAAAAGAGAATCCAATGTGTTATGGATAGACACACAAGTTGAGAAAAGAATCCAATGCTACAATGTGTTTGAACTCACTTCATCGAAAAACTTTAAAAAAAATGAATGAAAATTATTTTTTTTACATCGAAGTGTGTATTTTTTACTCCCTCCACCCCCCTATAATTGTCCCATTTTTCCATTTTGGATGTCCCTTTATTATTGTCACATACCATATTTGGTAACATTTGTGTGGCTCTAATTCATTCTTACTTTATTTCCACTTTATCAACTCATTACCAACCACATAATTCTACTTTTCTTAAAAACCACACCACTCCCTTCCGTACCAATATTAGGGGGACGGAGGGAGTATTTCTTAATTAATCAGAGAAAAAATTAAAAGGAAAACATTACTTATAATAATTTAATTAATGTTTTACTAAATTGATATGTAAAAAAATATGCAGAGTGTATTTTATTGATGGTGCTGGAATGCGGGAAAATAGGAGTCAAAACACCGTTTTTAGATGGACAGAGTCCATTTTTGACATTTTGGCCTCCACACCACCCCAAATGGTCTTATAGACTTGTACAATACTTGATCGTGCTTTTGAATAAGTTTAAACGATGAATTAGTGTCGTTGACATAAATTTTAATTAGTAAACTCTAAACTTTCTGCGAAATAAGCTTGTGGTGATGTTTTTATGCCAGATGCCCTTCCTTCCCAACCTTTTTATGAAAGGATTAAAAAGAGGCAATTCCAAATTCACATCATCATATGTTTTTCTGCACTTGCGTTGAGAATTTCATAGACGGTGATCACTGATAATCATGTCCTATCACAGAGCTGATATTGTTAACCAACATGTACTGATGTTACATCATGGGATATGGTCATTTGCATTTATTGAAATGCGAGATGAAATGAATATATTTCCGACTGTAATGCTCTTTTACTGATATCATATATTGGTTCCTCTTACCCGTTGCTTCTTTTATCAGGAAAAGGTACTGTGTAAAATTTGCTTCGAAAAGCAGATAAACGTTGTTCTCCTTCCTTGTAGGCATCACATTTTGTGCAGGTAATATTCTGGCACCCTTCTGTCTTTACTGCTGTAGTCTTAACCGGCATGGATCTAGCTTTACCCCGGGCAATGCTCCAACCCAGATGAGCTAAATTTGAACCCCATATGTACCCCAAAACATTATTGTATTTAATTAAAATACCAATTCTATTCACTGATCAGTTCACCCCATTGCCATAGCTCATTTTAATTCTTTTTCTAATCTTTAGTAAAGCCATTTAAAAGTTTCTCCACTTCCGCATCCAAAGATTCATATAACACGTCCCTTTTAAATTTTAAAGCTAAATTCATTTTCTTGCCCACCATTACGTCAATTTCAGAATCAGAACCCGGTGTATGAGGGTCCGTTTGGAACTCGGAAAAGCTATAGAAAGAAAAGCCGGAGGAAACCTAGGGGAAGAAAGACTGGAGAAAAATGAAAGATTTGCTCAAACTCAAAATATTTGTTTTAGATGTTTGTCCGAACTCATATTATTTAGGTTTACTAACTTAATATATCCTTAACTATTATCAAATTCATAAACTTATCCTATTATTTACCTTTTATTTTATAATAAAAAGACTCGCAGCTAGCTCATTTTTTCGCAGCGGTCCTTTTCACGTCATGGTTTTTGAAAATTTAAAATAGCCTAAAAAATGTGAAAATTAATACATATTTTAAAAATGTGAATGATTAGTTTTACATTGTTTTAACTCTCATATTAGCCTCAAAAAATTTAAAAAATTAAAAGTTACTAATAGATTTATGCAACCTAGATTTTTTCCCCCATAAATAGAATGATTTCGGAGTTAGATATGGACTAAAAACAAAATAGTGCATATTACAGGAATTAAAAACATAAAGATTATTTTAAAGGAACCTAAAACAAAATGCCTCGTATTTGTAACACACACATGGAAAACAGCTTTGAAAATCAAGATATAACCAAGGTAAAAAAAGAACATGTCTTGGCATTTCTTTCAGCTACCATTATCCATGATCCAAGCGTACCTGAGGTAACTTTTCAATACTAACAGCCATTTTTTATTCGCAGCATCTGTTCGGAGAAGTGCAAAAAGTGCCCCATTTGCCGTGTATACATTGAAGAGCGTCTATCTGTATATGATGTATAGCTAACTCAGAACCTGGGCTGTTTGTAACTAAAAAAGAAGCAGCAAGGAGTAGATGCTGTCATGGTGAGTGCAGTTTTAATCAGTCAAGTCACCATGGTGGATTGTAGGTGTGTACACTACTCTCTACCGATGTGTGTGTGTACACAAACACACACGAAGTATATAGTAATATAGTATATAACAGCCAACGACATGTTTGCATGTGTTTAGAGATGCAGACAACATTTGTAACTAGGAAGTAATGAAACCAAATCAATTCTGACTATTTGCTTTGAATTTGACTGTTTCCCATAAAGTTTATGCTTCTATATTTTTTATGATGGAACTTCAAAGATATATCTTATTAGCTTCGATTCTTCGATTCGAACTCCTGATTTAATTGGAATATATTAGGTTTTATTGAATTGTATGCATTAGAAATTCTATTCTTTCGTTTCATTTCTTAAAAGTTATGATAAAGATGTAAAGGTCGAACAATATTAATGGGGGAAATGAAGCTTTTGGCGTTTGGGGATTGCATTTCACTCGCTGGAATTTTGGCTCAGGTCTCCATATACAAAGGGAACATACCACTTCACCCTGCCTCACCTCACCACACTCTTCCGTTCACAAAGAAGGAAATCTCACAAAGAGAGATTATATAAATTCTCAGAGGATACTCTCTTCCACACACCAAGAAATGAGTTTGAGACCATATAAAAGGATAACATATTTAACTTATGAACTTATCAGGAAGGTAGGATATGACCAGGGATGGACTGGGACGGGCTGACCCGGCCCGCTACTGTGCAGACCTAGCCCGACCCGGATGAAGAAGCACGTGGGCATCGTGTTGTGATTTTAACGGTCATTAAGTTAATTTTTTTGCGGGGTTGAAATGGTTGGGCTGGCTCCTAGCTGTTGCTAATGACTTATAGAGCTGTTGGGAGTGGGTCTAGGGATGGATTCAAGCCGGGTCGGGCCCGGGCCGGGCCTAGGCCTGGTCGGGCCGCCGGTTCGTATCACATGGGCCCGGGACTGGCCTGAGGGTTGGACGGGTCCGGTTCGGGCCGGGCCACCTGCCCGGGTCCCGGGTCGGGCCACCCGCCGGGCCGGGCCGGTTAATTTTTTTTTTTAATTTATATTTTATACTTTATAGTTTTATACAAGTATTAAAAAACAAACTTCAAGTGCATTTATTTCAAATGAAATAGGAACTACATTTGAAAATTAAATAGGAACTATAATTGTTTTTAATCGGAATCTCCGGCATAGGTAGAGCCACCCTCTGTTGTAGATTCATCCATAAAGTGTTGGGATGGAGTGATGTCAATTTCTTGAGCTCTACGTGTTGCTTTCAATCAATCGTGGTAGCATATAAGCATCTCAAGAGGTTCAGCGCTCAACCTCGTTCTGGTTTGTGTTAGAACATTGCCGGCCGAACTAAATTCTTGTTCCACGGCAACCGTTGAAACCGACATTGATAGCACTTGCTTAGCCATCTTTGCTAAAACCGGGAACATTCTTTCTTTTCCCTTCCACCAGTTTAGTACGTCAAAATCATCATCTTCAAAATCAACATCATAAGTTAAATACAAAGAAATCTCATTAATTGTGCTTTGTTGTGTAGCGGGAGTTGATTTTGTTTTTTAATAAGATTGGCAAACGTAGATTTGAAAATTGATTTTCCTTTAGATGATGTTTGTGTCGGGGGAGGGGGCGCATTGCCATATTGTGCATGAAACTCATTGAATAATGCATAAAATATATCACTAATCTCGTTGTATTCTTTTTTCGGATCAATTGGGTTGTCCTCATACATTGGCAATGGACCAAAAAAGCAGCATAATAATAATTCAAACATTCTTCTAAAGAACCAAGTCTAAAACGAGGATCGAGAACAAATGCAATACCATAAATATGCGGAATATGTGAATAATATTTTAAAAACTTTTCCTTCATAAAACCAGCAAAATAACTCACATAATCAGCATTCTCAAAATTTGAAAAAGCACCGGCGAGATTAACAGCTTCACGAATAAATTGGTTTGAGGTAGGTTTATAAACATGACTAAAAGTTTCAGTTGCATTATTAAAATATATCAAAGCATTACAAATTTTTTCACAGGTGTCGATCTCAGCCGAGTTTATAATATAGTTATCATATTGTTTCATAAAAGCAGGAAAATGTTGTTTATATTTAACAAGAACTCCATCTAACTTATAGGTACTATTCCAACGAATAGACAAATCTTTTGGAAAAGCCACATATCTCTCACCTCTTTCTATCAAATAATCATGCCATTTTTTCCTAAGTTGTCCATTACCCCAAATACGTCTAATCCCCCCCCCCCCCCCCCCCCCCCCCCCCCCTTGACTACCTCCAACGATGCTCCCAACGCTTTTAGACCATCTTGCACACATAAATTTAGAACATGACGTGCACATCGTTGATGAAAAAATCTACCCATCAAAGAAGTAGAACCACACAATTCACGCAATCTAGGAATAGCAGCAGTATTATTAGTAGCATTATCAAAACCAATAGCAAACACCTTATCAATTAAATTATACTCAATTAAAATACGTTCAATCAATATAGGGGAATTAATTAGATATAATTCCAACTATATTAATAGATATAATAAATATATAAGTAATATATAATTAGATAACAAATATAAGTAATATAATACTATTTATATCTATTTATAGTTTATATAAGTAGATAATTAATATAAACTATAAATAATAAATATAATATATTGGAGAATGGAGAATAAGAGAATTAGAGAGTAGAGAGTTAAGAATAGGATTTAGGAAGAATTGGAGAAGAGATATGAAAAAATGTTTAAGATTAGCAGTATTTATAGGTTTTTTTACCCCCACCCCCACCACCCCCCCCACCAGCCAACCCCCCCGGACCCCCCCTTTACCCCACCCAACGGCTGTATAGCCGTTTGGGTTGTCCCCAGCCCCACCCCCAACGGCTAGTAGCCCAAACCAATTTTTTTTTTTAAATTAGACCCGGACCCGAGGCCGGGTCACAATAATCCAGCACCGAGCCCGCCCCGCCCCTTCCTACCGGTTCGGGTCCATACCCGGTCCCGGACCGCCCGACCGGGCTGGTCTCGGGCCCGCACAGTACCGGGCCGGGCCGGGTCACGGGCCGGGTGGCCCGAACCGAATCCAACCCTAAGTGGGTCTAGGCGGGTTGGGGGTTTGGGGTAAAAAAATCTATAAATACACCTATTTTCTAAACATTTTCCTACACCTATTCTCTAATTTTCTCTACACCTATTAATATATATTATATCTATTTAAATTAGTTATACAATTATTATATCTATTTATATACTTCCTCCGGTTTTTTTAATTGTAACAGTCTACTTTTAACGTTTTCCAATGCACAAATTTGATCATTAATATATTTCATTCGTTATTAGTAACAAAATTAAAAAATTCATATTTTGAAAATTTAAAATTAGAGGAATTTATAAAATATTTTTTAAATATTCAAATTATAATACATTAATAAATAAAATATAGTCAAATTAGAATACGTGAATAGTGCAAAAGCTAAAAAGTGTAATGTTGCAATTAGAAGAGAATGAATGTAATACTTAATATCTACTAATTATCCATTTATACACTTATTATCTACTTAATATCTATTTATCATATACTTATTATCTACTTATATTTACATATATTATATTATGTCTACTTGATATATGTATACGGAGTATATATTACAGTATTGAATATAAGTGTACTACTCATGTTATTAGTATACTTATATATATATATATATATGTGTGTGTGTGTGTGTGTGTGTGTGTGTGTGTAGAAAAATATATACTATTAACATTATATTACATATTAGTTACTTAAAGTATGATTTATAGTCTAGTAGTTACATTTTCATTAATATTAATTAAATTTATCCTATTAATAGTAGTTATATTCTCATTTTGTCAACTTTAATATTTATTACATTCTCATTTGTTAGATATTAATATTAATCATATAAAAGTTGTTAAACTATTAAAGTAATTGCATATTAGTTAATTTTGACTATACTTGTTACATTATCCTATTAATTAACCGTATATGTTAGATATTAATACTAACCATACAAAAGTTGTTAGATTAAACTATTAAAGTAGTTGCATTTTTTTAAATTTTACTATAATTTGTCACATTATCATAACATTAACCATATAAAAGTTGTTAGCTTAAACTATTAAAGTAGTTGGATTTCAGTTAATTTTACTATACTTGTCACATTATCATATTAATTAACCATATTTGTTAGATATTAATGTTAACCATATAAAAGTTGTCAGATTAAAGTAGTCAGCATATTCACCAATCGCCCCTGACCGCCACTTCATGAAGGAAACAACAACCGACGCTGGCAGAGATTGCGACTGATTTTTACCAAATGTATTTAATGTTTGAAATTATTCTTAATTATCAATTGTACTTCATATTTCAATAAATATACATTTTAATTTTTTGTAGCACTTGTGAATAGGGAAAATAACTTTAAATAATACAAACTATCTTTCGTACACTTTCGTACACCAAGAATAATACGTACTTTGAAAATAAGTTTTGATAATACCAACTATTTAAATATAGACCAAAAGTGATATATAGCATTTTTTTACCAAAAAATCAACCATTTAACTCATCAAAAACTTGTATCAAAATATCTAATTAGTCAATATATTTCCAAATACCATTTATTTGATGGGTTTCATTAGCTTTTGATGTCTTAAATGATCAGATATTTTTGTCAAAAAATGACTATATTATTTTTGTTTTACATTCAAATAGTTGGTATTATTAAATGTCATTTTCGAAATTTGTATTATTATCGGTTCATGGATGATAGTTGGTATTATTTAAAGTTATTTTACCTAAATAATACAAGTAATAAATGAGAATATACAAACTATTCTCGGATCACCAAGATCGGGCTAGTTCATCAAGCATGCCAAGTCCACAAACGATAAAGACATATTGGTTCCCAGTTCAAGAAGGAACAATCACAAAGCTATTAGTAAACACAAAGTATGACAAAAGATCATGATAGCAATCAATTTGAAGAAGTTGGGGGATTCCAAGTAATGCAAAACCCACACAAAAATAAGCATAAAGAAAATAGAAGAAATAGTATTCTCTATAATTGATAAAAGCGGAGCTCAAAATACACAAAAATATCATACCAATATACAAAGAATTTTACTATTAGAGAACTAACACATTTAAAATTAACTCAGAAATGATACAGTCAAACACATTGCACTTATTGTTTCTTTCATGCTTCCTAGTGTCACTATTTCTAATAATTTGATAATCATGCTAGTCATGCACAATGCACACAACATTCATATTACGCTCCACCTTCATAGAA